ATACATTTTTAAAAGTATATTACAATTTTCAAAAATAAAAAAAACATTTATCATAGCTCAACTCTAAAATGTTATTGTTTACAGACATAATATTACTTTTATCCTATATTAGGTTAGGTGTACATGACAATTTAATTTTATATATGTTTCAGTGTAAGGTATACATATTTTAAGAAACTATATTTAACTACATTTTACATCGCTGAATTGCATTTCCTGTCTATCTATCGTCTGTATTTTTGTGTCAAAGAATATATTGGTTTTATCTTTCAAAATCGCCTAACACCGTTGTCGTCAAACAGTTTCATGCACGTTGAAAAAATTCATAGAAATGCGATGCGAACAATATTTCTCTTGATTCTATATGTAAATCATATTATGTGTATTATATTTGCCATGTGCCATGTGGGGTTCGTGTTGATACGTGGTTACCTATTTGATTTGTTGGTGTTTACGAAAAACCATAAATCTACATAGAATTTCTAAATCTGGTACAGTGTAGACTGTACAGCTTAGATCATATACTATACAGAGTGTAACAGGAAGACTTGACAAAAAAAAGATGCTACTCTAAGTCTTAAACGTATGTCAAATATTTTTAAAATTATATGATAAGTAAATAATTTAAGAAATATACTTATGTCACAAATTACCAAAAATAATTTAGTTACTTGACTTAGATAAATGTTTAACCACCAACATTTTTCTTATAATCAGATTCAAAAATTTGCTAGTTTGAATTTATCCAAAAAAATTTAAATCCAATTAAATTTTTTTTATTTTTAGTATTAAAAAATAAAAAATATTAATTTTTTTATTATACGTATAGTGAAGTAACTATAAATTATATATATAAAAAAAATTGTAATTATTGATTAGAACAAAAGTTATTTCATAAATCAGCTCATCCTGTTACACTCTGTATACATGGTATTGGTATATGACCAAATAAATACATTATGAATAAATTATAATTGTTCTGAACTTTCAAAAGTGTCTATCTATGTCACAATTATAAGCAGCTATAATAGAGTAAATAAACTAATATAAGTTTTTAAGAAATATTCAGTGACATGCGTTAAAATTATCTAGTAGCCAACGACAGACGAATCTAATCCCACAAATACTAGCAATCAAACAGATCTTAAATGCAATTCTTGGAGCTGAAATATTATATTGTAAATAAAGTCTAGACAAACTTATAGCAACACAACGCCACATTCAATAAGGGTCCTACGAATTCTAGTGGTATTTAAATACCTAATATAATAATAGTTAATACTTTGAAAATTACTGAAAATTCAAAGCCAGTATATTATCTATAAAAAAAAGTACTCTAATGGAACTTATACGTATACCAGGTATATGCTCTAATTAATATATTGTATATTTTTACCTGTATATTTTTATTCTCAGATACCTCTAGTCTCTACCTACGAATAAGCCGATATTTTGTTTTCTTAATATATACACTCTCGAAACTGTTGACCGTAGACTTTTCTTACTTTAAGTCTCAACTTGATTCCCCTTTATGTATAGACACCAAAAACATTTATTGGGATAAACTAATGCGCATGTTGCTTCAAAATAATCATAGTAATAGTCATCGCGGTGGCTGGTTTATATATGGTAACGAACAAAACAAATAGGCTGAATAAATGTAATTGACCTGAAGTAGAATTTAATACTGGCCTAAAGCACTCAAGTTAAATATTTGATTGAATCTTTCAGTTCAATCTACTAAATTTAATCAAATTAAAAATATATACTATAAACTCAATCGAAATGCAAATGGTTTTTAGAATATTATGATATTTATTTGATTTCATACACGAACGTCCTCAAAAAACATATACCTATATTTAGTATTTAATATATAATTTTATTATTAAATAAGTACTCGTTAAATACGAGGCGTATTTAGGAATTTTTCATGGAGAGGGTCCAGCTAATTTTCTAAACACATTTAAGGGAGGGTGCCTCTGCTACAGAATATTTTAATATATATATATTAGATGTTTAGATAGGACGTATTTATGGGGCCAATGAGAGGAGGGTCGTCCGGACCAGATGGACCCACCGTAAATATGTCACTGTTCGCATATAAATATGAAACATGATGTAAATGAACAACAATAATAATGTATTATAACAACATATTTAACGTCTATATATTTTTCCATTGATTTTAATACTTAATTTAATACTTAGAAGCTTGCATTATTATATTAATACTTGATTCATCAAGTTATATTGTACTTTTATTAATTGATTTATGTTTATAAATTGTTTTAACTCATAAGATATCCGTATATCTATAAAAGCGCATTGAAAAACAAAAGAAAAATTATGAAAAAACGGGAATTTGTACTCAAAATCTGTTTGTAGATACATGCAATTATTACTGAATGTCTATATTAGAATTTTCTTTCCACCATAACATTTTCCAAATATTTTGACTTATTTTGAGCTGTTTACGGACATTTTCTGTTTCCATTTTTTTTAGTTTTTTTTTTCTATAAATATCAATAAAATGTTATTTATCGTGTAAAAAAGCGTGAAAATTTAATGTAAGGCTCCTGATATATTGTGACAATAGAAGTTGAAAAATATTAAAAATACACAGGCACAATTTTTTTTATAAGCATTTAAAGTACGAATTTTGACAAAATGTATTATATTTAAAATTTAATAATTATTTTAATATAATAACATTTTATTTGTTGGTTAAAAAAGCTTGAACATTTAATAGAAGGCTCCTAGTATATTGTTTCAAAGGCAGATGAAAAAACTTAAAAATCCATAATCACAATTTTTTTTATAAGCATTTATAGTTCAAATATTGACAAAATATGTAAAAATATGTAAAAATTAAGAAATTTTGCAAATTAATTTGAGTTAGAAATTCATAAAAAAGTTTTTTTTTAAATCTAAGATTTGAAAATATAACAAAAGATTACTCATTAGTTTGTCTACCTTTATCAAAAAAAAATGTTTACAAGAAACTCAAATTAAAGTTTGATGAGCGTTTGAAATTTATATTTTTACAACATTTGATATTCACTCGATTTCTCAAGAAACGATTTTCTTATTTTATTGTACTTAAAAAACGAATTACTGTAGATACTTGAAAATTTTACTGAATGTTTAAATTAGTATTTTCTATACACCATACAATTTTAAAAATAATTTGACTATTTCTGAGCTGTTTACGGACATTGTCAGTTTTCAATTTTTTAGTTTTTTTTTCTATAAATATCAATACAATTTTTTTGTTGTGTAAAAATGCGTGAAAATTTTATGCAAGTCTCCTGATATATTGTTACAATAGCAGTTGAAAAATATTAAAAATACATAGGCACAATTTTTTTTTATAAGCATTTAAAGTTCAAATTTTGACAAAGTTTATTACATTTAAAATTTAATAGTAATTGTGTGGTTAAAAATTTATAAAATGTTCAACTTTTATAGGTAAGGATTGAAAATATAAAACAAGATTCTATGTATATAGGTTATATATAAATTACTTTATTCAACTTAATATTATCAAATATACTTAGTAATATCATAGGCTGACTGACTGTTTTCGCTCAGAATCGTTTTTCTTATACAATGATATTATATCATTAAATTCCAATTTAACACCATCCATTACAGTGACTCACTTGTAACCTACTGTATAGCAGAGCGATATCCACTTACCCACCCTTTTTTATAACGTGCTTTACATTTATTTTGTGATTGGAATACACTAGACTCTAGTGACTAGAGTACAAATATTTAATTAATCATCTTAATATCCTATACGTAGGCATATTGAAAGTTTTCTTTAAAAGTTTTTCATCGATTCATAATGGTCCGTTCGAAGTGATTATGGTATAATACACCAGGTACCTCCTACCTACCTATCTAACTATATGATATAATACGAAAGTACATATTATTTTTCGTATCTGATGGAAAAAATTCTGTATAATGGGGGTAATGTCCCGATTATCCCACCCAATAAACCAAGTAAAGTGAGAATAAACAATAAATCACGATAAGCAAATCGATGTTATGCCCTGAATTATTTTTTATGACACGATACAATACACAATGCGTGCATATTATAATAAGGCATTGTTTGTGCTGCACATTTTGTAATAACCACTTAAGACGTTCCTGGTGGTTTGTTGAGGTAAAAATAAAAAACTAGCTACCTACTTATTTAAATTATATTAATTCTTACAAAGCTTGTAATTTTGAAAAGTAATATAGGAGTAATTATTTAGGTAGTATATTATTATTATCGGACTGATACTAGTATTTTCGATAAGTTAAATATTAATGAAATTTACTACGCATATAATTGAAACATTTACATACAATTATTATGGCTGCAGTAATCAACACCTTTATAAATATTCTATAAAGAGAATATTATAATTATAATTGTAATCGTAGCAATGATCGTAGCAATGAATAATTAATCATAATTTGAGACTATATCGATTTGGTTATTTAAAAAAAAAAAATACTTATCGAATAAGGAATGTATAATTGCAGTGTGTTAAAAAAATCCCCAATAGGAACTCACTGTATCAAAACGCATAATAATAATAAATAATAGTTGTTATGTGCGTTATATCGTATCCTATAGATGAATAGTCAGTCTCTTAGCTAATAGCCTATATATAACTGGTGACTGGTGTAAATCGGCTTTGATGAGGTAAATCGATATAGTAATATGGTCTGCGATACGAATAATGAAATACCGTGAAACCTCGATAACTCGAACATCTATAAGTCGAATTTTCGATAACTAGAAGGAATATCTTCGCTCTTGCATTTCAATGAGTACACACAATTTTTTCTATAACTCGAATTTTTTTTTCGTCCCCAACCGATTCGAGTTATCGAGATTTCTACTGTATATAGATACGGAATCGCATCGTTTACGTTTTATTTGATCGGTCTGCATGATAAGTGTTTATCCTTGAGGGCTTATATATTTTTACTCACTTAACGACGACGTATCTCCACATGGCCAGGACGAGCGTGAGTGCGATGGACGTGGTGTGCAACACCTGTGACACGTAAGTGTGGAGCAGAACGTACACGGCGCCCACGTGCGAGAACTCCTCCTTCTTGGCAGTGGTCAGGTACATGTAGCACGCGAACGGCGTGTACTCGACCATGAGGGCCAGGTCGGCCAGGGCCAGGCCGCACAGTATCCGGTTGATGGGCGAACCGGCCAGGTCCTTGCGTGTCAGCACCGCGATGTTGAGCGCGTTGGCCAGCGCGCCGAACACGCACAGGAACAGGCTGACGTAGCCGTGCGCCGCCCGGAACAGCAGTGAGTAGCTCTTCACGGCGCCGCCGCAGTTGTAGCAACCGTTGTCCATCGTGTGGTGATGGTGCCCGTCACCACCGTCGTCGTCCGGATCATCGAACGACGTGATGTTGATCAGGTACTGCAGATCTTCCTGCGTCAGGTTCAGGCTGCGCAGATGCGCCATCCACGTGTAGTTATACCTTGCCCTGTTAGACAACATGTCTGTGCACATCATGATGGTCCGGCTGCATGCGCTGCAAAAACCTCAAAATCATTAACGGTTATCGCTGCGTTTGGAACATAGTTATATTATAATATGATATACATTTCACGTAATGGCCAAAATAAAATTATGGTCAACTACGGTATGAGTTAAGTAAATATTTTTAATATTAAAGAAAAAATAATTATTCTAATACAGCGTAGTATAAATGCAATCACACCAATATTATTTATAATCAATGCTTGTAGTTATTTTCTACCTTCATAATATAAAATACACTATTTTCCGTGTATTCTTACGAATTGTTCTCATAATATTGAAAACCCCTTACCTGAGAAGCATATTTAAATACCTCTTCGCTGAAAATGATATTAAAATGTATTAAGTAGGTACCAAAGTACCTAACTATAAATAATAGAAATTATAATGGAAATCAACACTTTTCTAGAGAATAATAGTTATCTTGGTATGCCGCTATGGGGTAGCATTACCTTTATAATTATTTGTTGTTGTTATTATTATTTTTATTGTTTTATTATTTATTCTTCAAGAATATATTATATAATAAACTCCACTCAACATGTTCGTAAGGGGGCCCAAGAGTCCCCCATAATTTATTCATCGATATTGTGTAAGCTGAAAATCATTTTACATACATATTATAATATTATATACGAATATGAATTTGCATACCAATTTGGGTACCTATACCTACCCATATAAAATTATAAGACTTCATGTCTGTTTTTCATAAACAAAAAAGGTCTACTGAAAAAAATCAAAAGAATAATTTCGAATGTGTTCAGTTATAATTTATATCCTACATTATTTTTTATGTTCCATAAGATATCGAGCAAACTCGTTTAATCTATGACGGGACGTGATAACGTGAGTACAACATTGTACTGGGCTATTATTATAACATTATTATAACTCATTATATCGATAAATATTAACATTTTTGAAAAAAATTATTTTTACATTATTTGAATATATTATAAAAAAATATTGTAGTTTTACTATTTTTTTTTATAGATTCTCATTTTCAATTTTAATTTTAATTTTCTTAATTATTTCGATGAAAACATACATTTTAAATTTCATATTCTAAAACATAATAATTTCTTACTAATTTTGTAACTTTGTAGTATAAAATAGAATTTCAACCGAGGCGTTAATTAATTATAAATTATAATTTAGTAATGTAAATAAGTATAACAAGTATTTAAATAATGAGTAGTGGAGCGGAGTGGCACAGGGTTGGGTTGCATAATGTTGGTGTACTACTCCGCTCATCTAAACTATTTATTTAACCGTGCCAAGCATGTTAATTTATTTTTCGTCAATGTTTGATCCCTTGTTGTGTTTCGAAATGTCGAGACAAGTGATAACGAAATTTCAACCCACTCTGAGTATGCTATATAGATAACTTATATTATACAGTAGAAGGACAAGCCAGTAATTATTCCTGTGGTCGAATTACGATATCACTTTACTTCTGTCGGCAAAGTGAATTTAAGAAAATTCTGTGGTTCGTATTGTATAATATGTATTGTATCCAATGCGTCATTCCTGCTCTCAATATTGACTCGTCTGGCTGTCAAGAATGCCATTCGAAACTCTAATAACTAATGTCTTATTACGTAGGTCGAGACAACGGATAAACATTACAATTTATTACGTGTATAATGCATAATAGTATAATATACACACATAGCCACATAGGGATAAGATACATATATATAAGACGTGTTATATGTGTTCGCATACAGTATTATACCATAACGACTAATTTTGGGTCTCAAGACGTTATATAATATTAACAACAACGGTACGGTCCATTAATTTCTTGTTCGATATGCGACGGGGTGGCCGTGTGTATCATTATGCTTACAACTTTAAACATGATAGGTATACCGTATACCTACCATACTATAAACTTATGCCCGCGTTCGTCATCGTCGATCATCGTCTTGACACGGATATCAACGTCGTACACTATTTAAATAATAATAAAATATTTGATCAACTCTTCGCAAACGAGTAGAGGTAGTTCTATATCACAATAGCCGCAATGAAATATTTTGTCTATTTTGGATATCAATATAGGTAATAATATTATTACCAACGAGAGAGGATACACGTGCCTATAAATACTACGGACGTAATAATATAATAATATATATACAGTATACACTCAATAATATTATAACTAACACCGTAGTGTCTCGCTGTGTTTATATTTTTGCGCTTACAGACGTACAGTAAATAATAATATTGGTGAATTACTACGAGTATAATATGATATACAGAGAGTAGAGGCAATATAGATATTACGAGCGTAGTATTTCGTACCCTCGTGACCACTCGAGCGCAATAGATTAGGACATGCTAAAACTACCGCCAACATTGGATAGAAAAACCATCCTATATAATATTATATTATTATTATATACGTGATGTATACATTATACGATGGTAGTAATATTATATTATAGTGTACGACGTAACTAATTTTGTTTACTCAAGATAAAATGGAGACGAGTCCAAGATAATTATCCGCGATAAAATAGAGAACTCTTCAGCCTAAATTAGTTATAGCTTTTTTGACAGATCGCTTTCGTTTACCGTTAAAGGCCCTCAGAAACACATCATAATTATAATATTTGGGGTGCCGTCATTGGGTGACTCCCCCTCCCGTCAATCAAACCACATCAAATTTACCTTTTGTATAACGTGTAAATACAGATTGTAAATATAAATTTTTGTTCAATAAAAAAGAAAAAAGAAATCATAATATCATGATTTTTAAAGTAAAGTACGTATGTTAAAATATAGGTTTTTAAGTATAGTATTATTTTATTTTATTATAAAATATATTATTGTATTATGGTATTTAACGACGTTTCAAGAAAATAGTTAGTTAATAACGTTTTATTAGATGGTAGTTGCTTCATTTTAGTGAGATCAGATTTAGTCATTAAGATCAAATTCCATTACAACTTTATAATGTAGTTAGAATGATTCTGTCAATACTTGATTCGATTTAATTAAAATTAATAGCCAATTGGAACATTTTGAAATCTAGTTTTTATGTTCAAAAAGTTAACTATGAAATATATTAAGATAATCTGTTTATTTGATTATTTTATCATGCACTATGCAATATCTTATGTTTTTGTTTGAATGCATAAGAATTATATACTATTCTACATTTATCGATGATTATCAAAATTTGTTCTTACAAATTTAAAACTCATTACATTTTTGAAAATATTGCCCTGGTAAGTGGTTAGTGGTTACGATACAAAATAAATATCATCCTGTATGTTTATTATGGACTTAAGAATGTTTATAAAAGGGTTACATATTATAAAATTACATATGAAATAAAAATATAGACGATTTAGACGATGACTGATGAGATTTATATATTAAAAGTTAAAACTGAAGTTTCCATTCTAAAATATATAGCAAAATACTATATATTTAAAATGTATACAAAAGCACGAAAACACGTTTAAATAAAGAACAGTTGCTGTAAAATAAAAAACTACCAACCACAGAAACATAATTAAAACAATAGTTGTAGATTTTCAAAAATATAATCCTTTTACAACTGGTTATTTTTTTATAAAATGTATATTGTATTTGTTAGATTGTAATCTAAGCGAGAAATGTTTTTGTTTAATAATGGTTCTTTTAAGTGGTCACTTTTTTAGGATCAGATAGTAATATAAAAGCTCTAAAAGTTTCAAACTGCAGTGTATGGATGGAAAATCTCATTTAATTGTTAAATGCTTAGAGGGGGAATTTTTTTTGTTCAGCAGTTTCAACGTTATGTACAATTACGTTAAAATTATTGTGTATAAAAGTGTTTCTTTTAAATTTTAATCTCACATATTATTATACTTACTGTTCAGTAGGCAGATAACGCTTTTTTCATTAATTTTGTAAAGATTTTTTTATCACAAATGTCTATATTTAGAATCAAATGCATGAAATAATCAAAATATTTTATTTCATTTATGATATTCGCTAACAGGTTGTAGTTGAAACAATTTGGAAAGTAAATAAATTATTGAAAGTTACAAATTCATAAAATGTTGCCATAATTTATTTGCGATGATACAGTAAATGAGTTTTTAGGGTAAAAAAGATATTATGCTATTTTGTGATAACCTTCCATACCCAATTTTCTCAAATTAGTGTTTGTATATTGGCCGTAAAAAGGCACGTCGAAAATAATTAGTAAATAATAAACTTTCTAATTATTAATTTTCATATTTTTTCTACTAAATATCAAACTCCAAGTTTCTAAAAGTTTTTAAACTTAAAAAAAAGCATCGATCATAATTTATTATTGTTTTCTCACTTTCTACACCAACACAGATTGACAATAATTCTTTAACATACTTTTTTTTTAATTATACAAAATAAAACATTTAAATACACTTAAATATAAATAGTATGATAATTAGTATCATATTTATAGGTACCATATAAAACGTTAATGGAGATAATTTAACCGAACCGATGTAATATTAGTACCTAGGTACTTATGTTATATAGAAGGTAAGTATAAATTACTTATCTAATTGGTTGGAATGTAGAAATGTTAACCGTTTATAGTTTGTACTGTAATGATGTGGGGTAAAAAAACTAATTGTATTATACGAATTGAAGAAAATTAGTAGAATCCGTGACACATTATGCATATGTATATATATATTTTATTTTATTTTTTTATTTTAGAAAATTTAGAATCTGTATTAATTAAACACAATAAGCAAAATGTGATAATATGTACAACAAAAAAATATAATAAAATAACAGAATGACAAGATAAGAACCCTTCAGATTTAAATTAAACATAATTTATTGATTATTTTTTTTTTTTTTTAATCATAAAAGATCACGATACCAGCGTCTTTTAAGGCGGTGAGGGGTGATTTTATTTATTAAAATATCTATTATTTTCATAGCCGTTGATTTCAAAATTTACTGTTGTA